GGCAGGTCAGTGTGAGGTATCTACATACGCCAGTAAGCTCCAAGGACTGTCTGTTACCAAGGACCAACTACTTTTGCCCTCTGTTTGGGGATCATCTGTGCAGGGGCAAGGCATTCATGCTCCTAGATAGTCTGAAACTTTCCACTAGGTTCAGAGTCTCTAGGGTTTCCTGGGCAGTGCAGGCCAAGATCAGGCCCCACCTGTGTTCTCCTGGGAACAATCTCAATTAGCTATAAAACAATATGAAGATGGCTGCTATTATGTTGAATTTGGAGTGTCCCAGGAGAAGACAAACTGTGAACCTACACTGGCAGCTGCTAGTTCTAGACCTCTAGACACTTAGGAAGTGATATTTTTACATGAAGTTGTGAAACATGAGCCAATACCCCCCCCTTATATGGAAAAAGAATTGTTAACTCCTTGGATGAATCTATACAGTAAATGGTATGTTGCCTTAGGGGAATGCCAGGGCAGGGAAAACAGTGGCATTGTGGTTGATGGAGTCTCTGGTATGACACTCACATGCTGGCTCAATAGGTCTGTGTAGGGAGGAATGAGAAGAGGGACAATACACTCTGACTTTCTGTCTGGGAGAAAGCTGTGCTCCAGCACTTGCCTTGATGCCAGATACTTCATTTCTTCCCTGTATGCCACTGGTGCCTTTCAAGTTGCTACCCAGGTGCTGCCATTCAGAGGAGTTGAGTAGGAGTAACTCTGTGTGGGGTTTCTTTAAGAAAAACTGTCTGGGACTCTAGGAGTTTCTTCCACTGAAGTCATCGTCATTCAACTTTGCATCCAGAAGTTGTGGGGATTTATTTTTCCTGCACTGGGACCCTGGGCTGTAGGACCCGGTGTTGAGGTGTGAATCCTTGTACTAAAATATCCCTTGCCAAATTATCTCACCAAAGTGAATATGGGACTAGTCTATCTCATGCTTTCATTCCTTTTTCCAGTCTGGATGGATGTGAATGCCAGTCTGTAGACAGACACCTTCTAGTATTACTGTGTAAGAGACTCATAGAAACAAACTCAGTGTGATTCCAGACACAAATGTTTCTCTGGAAAGACAAAAGGGTTGAAATTAAGTGTTTGCTCAGGGTATCAGGGGGCACTCAAGACATGAGGGCACATAGTGTCAAAAATCCTATAACTGTACAAAAGGGACTCCGAATATCCAGGCTCAATTTTCTTGATTCCTTCTTCCTGCCTTAGCATGTGATTCTGTTCCTGTGGTGACATCTTCCCCACCTGGTTCTGTTCTCAGGATGCCTGTCTGTGAGATCTGAGATTGGGGACTTGTGGACTCTAGAGAGTGTGATCTCTGCACATATTTGGTCATTGTTGACTATACTGACTAGATAACTGTCTTCTGGTTCTCATCCTCCTGAAGACAAGCCAGGACCCTTCTCACAACAGAGTCTTCAGGTTCCAAGCTCTTGGAGAATGGGGGAAAACAAAGAGTGGACACTTGCTATTCTGTATGTCAATATGTTTTTTTTTCTATTGTCAAATCAGAGAACATGCTGGTTTAGGGTTAGTATGGGAGCTGGGCCCATGTGCTAAGAAAAGGGGACAATGGAGACCTACAAATCATTACCATGAAAATCATCACTGTGTATGTGTGATTTGTTGAGAACTAGAAATGCAATGGCATTAGGGCCACATGCAGGGCTACTCAAATGGAACCCACAGGCAGAGAAAACTGAGGGTATCAGAGGCCTCAAAGATGCTGAGGGCTTCAGGGTTCATGGATGTTGGATGAGTCAGTGTATCTTGAGCTCCAGGGATGGGATCCCTTGGTTGCTTATTAGAGTCTGGACTGGGGGCTCCTTGAATAGTAACTGGAGATTGATAAGCCAATTCTGTGTATCCTGAGGTCTCTAAGAACAAAATGTCCCTTAGGGAGAATCATGAAGTCAGGGCATAGCCTATAATTTTGGACTAGAGATGCTGAGAAGTCCACATCTTGTAAGTTCAGATAGGACCCTCCCCTGTAGGGCACATGCTAAACATCAGGGCGTGCATGGCATATACAAAATCAAGGATGCTTCCCCGAGGTTGGTGCAGAGGGAACGGGGAGGAATTTCCTCTGAGGGCCTGTGTCTTCCACTTTTCATGAAAATTCTGAAATAAGATTGGACATGAGGGGACTATAAACATCCTATTCTATCAGAACATTTACCAAACTCAGAAAAGCATGAGAACCAGTCAGTGAGCATATTTCAGTGGCTTCTTTAGATCTGAATTCTGAGGAATCAGATGCAAGGATATTTTTGTTAACTCACTAGATGCAGCATTTTCCAGCCACTCCTATCCAGGATTGAGACCATCAGGCATTAAAGCACAAAAGTGGCATGTGTGTCACTCAAAGGTGGTTTCACAATAAGGAGCATGTCCTATGGGGGTTTGATCCTCAGTGGGAGGAACTATGTCTGCACAGAGCTTACGGACCTGGTAGGTGACACCTGTCCTACAACATAGATTAGGACTTTCATCCTTAGTCCCCCACTGAGCATGGTCCCTATGCCCTGTCTTCTCTCTCATGCATAATGGCTTCCACTATGAAACACTATTCCTCATGAGTATGCAAATTAGAAGAGGTGGTCTAGGTTAAATGTGGTTCTGTCTGTGCCCTAAGAGCATCACCTAGCACTTGGCATCATGCTCACAGCCCCAAGCGTATGTGACACCACACAGAGGCAGAGGGATGCACAACAGCTTTGTGTGGATGCCCAGGCTGATGACAAACACACATCACAAGGGTGCATGTAATGTTAATCACTAGCAGAGTTGAAATCTCTGGGAAGATTAGGAAAGGCCCTTGTACAAGTCAGATTAAAATACTGCACCCTGGTCAGCATCCCCCAGGGTGTTACTGAGGTATAAAATAATGCTAGGCCAAGGTTCTCAGTGGGAGTCTCTAATAAAACTAAAGATGTTCATAATTTTCACAGTAAAGGTGAAACCTGTGAGTACAGCCCTGGGATTCAGTCACATATCTTGCCTGTTGTACCCTGGACTTTGGGTTATATCTCTGTTTTTCTTTTGCAGTTCCAGTTGGAATTCCACATTATATTATATGAGTTTCTAGCCTACAGCAGAGTGGTCAGACACTTACAGTTTGTGATGTGATAGGGCAGTATTTCCAGGACATGCTTTGCACCAGACACAGTTATCATAATATTATTGACTTTAGTAGGAGTGCTGTGATTTACCTCCCTGTGTTTATAACCTGTAACTGCCAAGGTGTACTTTATCACTTTTCCCTTTTCATCCAAGCTCCCAAATCCCAATCTATGAGTTTGTTTCTATTCTGTTGTGTTTTTTTTTCTTTTCTTCATTAGATTCCACATATCAGTGAAATCACATGGCATTGCTGCTATTCCATCTAGACTTTTTTATTCAGCATGGTACTCTCTATATCTGTCCCAGTCTTAAATAGTAAGATTTAATTCTGTTATGGCTGAGGATATCAAGGTTTTATGGTTGATTAAAAATGATGGGTTGATTTTCAAATCAGTTCTTTTTAATATTACTGACAGGATTACTATGTGAAGCTATTTCTGAGAAAAGTGACAAAGCAAATTGAGCTTCCTATATGAGGAGGGAAAATCCTAAGGAACAAGAACACTGGAAGTACTGGCTCCAGACTTGCTTAATCCCACCATCCACGTACTTGGGAGGGTCCCTTTCCTCTTCTGCACACTGATCCACAGAGCATGTGACTTCAGAGCTGACAGCTGTCTCACATGGGAAAGGTGACAGCATTCTCAAGGGTCATGTGCAGATATGAAAGTGGATAAAAGTAGAGGAGGCCAAGCTTCTGAAATTGACTTCTGATGAACCAGGGATGGATCTGTTTCTTACATTATTGATTAGAACTTCATCACATGTCCACAGAACCATGATGTTGATGGTGAAAATAACACATAACTCTAATGCCTGACCAGATTTACATAAAACTAGATCCGCTGAATCCAGAATGGAGATGCAATTCAAATGATTTATTTACTCCACATGCAATGGGCAAATGAAAGGATGCTTTTCATATCAATGATGGTTTCATTTATTTTCTGTTATTTTGTATTAGTGATTCATATGAAAGTATATTATAATGAAATTGGTATAATTTAAAAATACTTACTCCCCAATTTCCACTTACATCTACACCTAAGCAGACCTAGTGATGACTGAGATGCTTCTGTGTCCCCAATGTTAGCTCCTGCTTTTACCACAAAGTCTAGAAAATAAAAACAAAGATGAGCAATGATGTTGAACATTGAGCACCAAACTCCACTAAAGAAATGTGTACCAGGAGCACTGTGTGCTTCTGTGTATATTTCACGTTTCTGTCTCCCATGTTCCACACAGACCTCCTCCAACACTGGGTCCACATGCTCTAGGGTCTCACTTTGTACTTAGTTCATACTCTGATTGCTTTGTAAAAGAAATACAGTCCAATGGAACTTCCTGTCACCTGAACAGGAACCTCATGCAGCTTTAATGCTCTCTCTGGTCATGATTATTGAATCCTCTTGGTGTGTTCATTAGTGGTGACTTTCAAAGGAATCTCTCTTTTTAAAAACCGATCCTTCATGAGCATGTTATCTCCAATGTCATGTGCCCATCTCATGTAAAATCTGTCAGTGAGGATGGCAGAGGCTCAAATGTACAAAGTAATTCTTAACAAACATGCACCCATAGACATGTTTCATATTAGGACATTGACTTTTATGCCACCGTTCAAACCCAGAGCTCAATATATAGGATAAGGACATGCAAATAGGGCCCCTCTGCTCATGAAAAGCAGCCAAACCCTCACCCTGCAGCTCTAAGACAGGGGCCCAGCTAGTGATTCCCAGGTGTACCCAGTCCCTGCTCATGACAGAACACAGACCACTCAACATGGAGTTTGGGCTCCTCTTGGCTTTCCTTGTTGCAATTTTAAGAGGTAATTTATGGAGAAGCAGACACAGGGTACGTGCGTTCATATGACGGACATGAAGCGTGGGAATGTGTTTTCTGACACGGATTACTTTGTGTTTGTGGGTGTCCAGTGTGAAGTACACCTGGTGGAGTCTGGCAGAGGCTTGGTGAAGCCTGGAGGGTCTCTGAGACTCTCTTGCATGGCTTCTGGATTCACCTTCAGTAGCTATGCAATGGACTGGGTCCGCCAGGCTCCCGTGAAGGGGCTGGAGTGGGTCTCAGCAATTAGTGATAATGGTGGTAGCACAGACTACACCAACTCTGTGAAGGGCCGATTCACCATCTCCAGAGACAATGGCAAGAGCACTCTCTACATGCAAATGAACAACCTGAGATCTGAGGACACGGCTGTGTACTACTGTGTAAAAGAAACAGTGAGTGGAAGTCAGTGTGAGCCCAGACATAAACCTCCCTGTGGGAGACAGGAGGGCTGAGCTGTAGGGAACACTCAGGACAGCAGGGGGCGCCCGGGTCACACTGAGCAGTTACCAGCTTGAGAGTAGCTGCTTATGAACTTTAAGAGCTTGTTTCCTTTAACAAGAACCCAATCTCCAGCCCTGGCTGGCAAAGCTCAGTGGATTGTGCACGGGCTGTGAACCAAAGTGTCACAGGTTCAATTCCCAGTCAGGGTACATGCCTGGGTTGCAGGCCATGACCCCAGCAACCGCACACTGATGTTTTTCCCTTTATGATTTTTCTCTCTCTTTCTCCCTCCCTTCCTTCCCTCTCTCTCTCTCTAAAAAAGAACTTGTTTCCTTTAACAGGAACCGAATCACCAAGACAAACAAACAAGCAAAATATAACCAAAGACACTGAAATAGAGTACAGGCTGACAATGACCAGAAGGGGAGAGGGATGGGAGTTTCAGGAGAAAAAGGGAAGGATTTGCAGGATCAAGTATAGAGGACACATGGACAAAAACAAGGGGGGGTGGAAATGGGAGGGAGCTGGGGAGGGCTGAGGGGGTGCTGGGATGAGAGTAAAAGGCAGAAAACTGTACTTGAACAGCGATTAAAATTAAAAAAAAAAATAAAAAAGAGCTTGTTTCTTGGCAGGTGTGGGGTTGACTGGCACACAGCAGTTTCCCTATGGGAGCCTCCCTCCTTTCATGCTTCTGTGCTGACCCCTCCAGTATCTGAGTTACAGAGGCTTGTTGTCATCAGAGGAAAACATTCTCACATGCCCCAAGTCAGAGTGTCACATGCATTTGCTTATTCCTATCCTAATGAATCGCCAAACCCCCTGACCCAAATCATCTGAATCCAACCAGACACTCTGCTGGAGTCAGCAAGGAGTCCAGCCCCACACAGCTCAGAGTCCAAGTCAGCCAGTAGCTGGGCACTTCCCTGCTGGGCACTTGGCACCTGAGTTGCAGGAACCCAGTCCCGGGGGTAGGGGAAAACACAGGGGTGTTGGTCATTGACTTAATTCCACATTCAGGACATCAATAGCAGTTGACATAGTGTGGGCATAGAGGGACCCCAACCATACCATGTTGTGGATGTCCAGGGTGATGATGTCACACACACAGACAGAGGGACTGTGGGAATGTTTGCCCCTTCTTTGAGAAGTCTGTTGAGAGCAGGGCACACTTTTCAGCTGTTCAGGGATGGCCATGTCACATCAGATAAGGAGTCTGGTCCAGGTTTTATTTTTCACCTCTGAGCAGACCCCTGCTTATGAAAGGGACTTGTGTGATTTCTATCTCCCAACTGCATCAGGGAGAATCCCCACTTCCATGTCAGATTCCCCCCATTTGCACAGGACGAGAGAATGGGGTGAACCTCACATGTCAGCATCAGATATCAAATGCCAGAGCCTGGCTTCTTATTTCACTGAACACCTAGGAAATATGAGTGAGAATGCAGAGCCACATATAATTCTGGATAGAAAATAAGCGCAGTCCATAGAAAATACTAAAATGGTTATATGTATGCAATAAGTGGGAAAATAAGAAATTACACGGACACCTTTGATCAAAGTGTAGGGTGGAACCTGTGCACTCTACAAGGTCATTAGCTTGTTCTGAAGGACTTTGGTCCACTTACTGCTTACAAAGATGAGAAGCATCCACAGATTTATGGGGATCCTCAGTTTTGGGAGCTCTACTGAAGCAGCCTTTCTACTGGATGGAGTCAGGGTTTGATTAATTTGCCATTGCTATGAGCTGGTGTTGGAGTTACTACAACATTCCCAGATTATTAAAACCTGAATCTCATCGGATGGTGTTAGGAATCGTGTCCTTGGGACAAGTGATGGTTCTGGGGTGGAACTGTGAGGAATGGGATCAAGTCCTTTATAACAAAGGACAGAGGAAACTCCCTTGCCCCATCCACCCTCTGAGATTACAATGAGCAAACAGTCATATAGGAATCTGTTCTGTAACTGACATCAATCCGCCAATAGCTGATACTGTTTCCCACCTCCAGATTATTGATAAATACCTTTCAGTATGGGACAATGACCCAGTTCACAGTAGATTGTTACAGCATCAAGAATGTAGTCAGGTTGTAGAGTGACATGACTACAGGGTCTGCCTCACTGGCGATTTGCTGCCATATGTGTGTTGTTAAAAGTGAAAAATAAGTGTCCTTCCAGTGATGTTCAAGGGCAGTTTTTCTCTGGTGTTTCTTATAGGCAAAATACCCTGGTCATAACTCATAGGGGGCTGTTAAACACATGTAGTGAGAAGGCAGCATTAGAAGTGGGTGTAATGCATGAACCCTTTCAATATTTATAAGATCGACATGAAGGAAGGTCTGTGTTTCACTGGAGGTAAAATCCATAAGTGCACGTTTCTTCCCAGTCACCAGGTCACAGGGACAAGTCTTATGTGTACTTGAAGGTGAGGACATGAATGCCACTTGGGTATAGCATTGACCAAGTGGGGCTAAAGGTTTATGTAAGTTTTATGAATTTAACTAAGCATGACACTTTTAAAACTTCCCAGAGATTGTATATAATAATGACAGATTGGCACTTGATTATAGTAATCTCTTACTAAATAATCATTAATGTGCTGTGTGCACCTCAGTCACTTGATGTGACAGTTGTCAAGAGATTGGGGAAGGGGTTGAAGAGGCTGAGCAGAGAGAGTGTCCAGGGCAGTTAAAATGTTCTACATGTGTCTGTTCCTTTCCCCCCACTCTCTTTCTCCACAATGATGGACTCTCCATGCACAGATGCACAATGGGCAGGGGTTCTGACTTGAAAGTACAAAACAGCAGACCTTGCAGTTCCAAATGACCTCAGCCAGGGAGTCTGACTAAGGGAATGAGCGTCTCTGTGTGCCCCCAGATGGATAATGCCATACAAAGAATTTATGCTGAGCTGACTAGAATGAAACAAATTGCATGTGGACTATTGCTGTAAATTACATTGTGTTAAACTGCTAGATGATATAACTTAGCAATGGCAATAATAACCCTACAGAAGGCACACCTACCTCTTGTAAAACTTTCCAATGTTAGAATGAATGTGCTTTTTCCCTCTAGTCAAGTGGTTACTGTCACTCAGAGACTTCACTTCTCTGTCACTAAGGGGAGAACAACATGTAAGTGGGCATCGACACGTGCAGATAAAACTAGATTTGCAGCTTTCCCTGCACTTCAGGGAGAGTAGTTACAACCCCTGGGTCTCTGCACTTTACACTCACTGCAGCAGCTAAACGAGAGGAAGAACCATGAACTTTGAGATGAACTGGGAACTTGCTCTGAAGCTTTTACATGGCACCATTACAGACAGGCTGAGGAATTCTGTGTGTTTCTGTGTGTATCTATGTGTTTGATGCTAATGAAAGCCTCTTGTCTGCAGGTGTCCAATGTGAGGTGCAGTTGGTGGAGTCTGGTGTGGACAGGATGCAGCCTGAAGGGTCTCTGAGACTCTCCTGCAAAGGTGCTGGGTTCATATTCAGTGACTACTATATAAACTGGATCCCTCAGGGTCCAGAATATGGACTGGAGTGGGTAGGGGTAACTGGAAACAAAGCTAACAGTCACACTACAGAATATGCTGTATCTATGAAAGGCAGATTGACCATCTCAAGAGATGATTCCCAAAGCACTGCCCATCTTCAAATGAACACCCTGAGATCCAAGGGCTCTGCCCTGTATTACTGTCCAGAAGACACAGAGAGGGGAAGTCAGTGTGAGCCTAGACACAAGCCTCCTTCAAGATGGGATGAGAAACAAGAGGGGTCGCTCAGGGCCCATAGGTTCTGCAGGCATGGGGAACATGGAGGTTCATTAAGGTTTTGCTTCATCTCTGGCAGGGAGCTTCCTTTTCACCTGACATGCAACATTCAGGTACCTAGGAAAGCATTCACCACAATGAGTCTAAACTGGTTGGTGCACACTATCTATATCCATTGGGTAGATGCATATTGTCTCTGCCATGGAAATTTTCTCCTACATAGCTCTCTTGTAACTATTGGTTTTGTGTTCATTTGTGTAGATCACAAGGTGCTTAAACATTCAGCTGAAGGTTAATCATGGTTTTGTCCAAACGTGATGACAGGGGAACTTACCTTTGAAATTGTGGCTCAGAAAAACAGACTGTTTTCCCCAGTGCAGGTGGGCACCCTTCGCTCCACCAAGGTACAAACTGAAGAGGGTAAATTAACCCCTCCCTGTCTGTGTGTCAGATTCTAGAGCTAAGACAGAGGTCTTCTTCCTCCCTGGGCACCCTGGTCCTCAGCCAGGTTGCTCAATGATTGATCTTGCAAGCAATTTTCTTCCAACATGATCTTGCACAATAACCAACTGCAAATTGCATCCATGTGGAAAAGCTCATGATGAACACTTACTGAAATGATAGAGATGTATCTGATTCCTTAGATTAATGTGAGCATTTGCCTAGAAAGAATGCTTGCTTGATGCAGGTTCCAATGTGGTTATATATTATCATAGTGAGTTTGACATAGAGGATAAATATGCAGTGACATAAATGACTTGGTAACACATATAAATGGCACATGCTTGATAAATAGTGCACTGACCCATGGTGCTAAAAAAATGGGAACTTTCTCAGTGTTCTCCTCCATAGGAGGCACCTGTGACATTTCCTAGACAGCAAAATCTTAAACAAATGTTCTTGTCTGTCCCTGGGACTAAGTGAGAACTCAGTGCCTACTGAACTGATGGATTTGGAGAACTCAGAGACCACATGGGGAACATCACCAGAGCTCCACTATCACCAGCCCTAGAGAATGTCTCCTTTGAAAGGGAGTCTGAGCAATAAGTAGGGGTATGTGAATTCTACCCATGATGCCCTGAGCAGCACAGGTGTGTCCATGAGAGCTGAACAAGACACCCAGGTGCAGGGAGAAATGGTGATTCCTGAAGGGACTGACCAGTGAAGCTGTGGGTCACTGTCTCCATGTGGGGATGTGGAGTCTGAGGTCCATGGGTTATGTGGTCAGAGGGGAAGATAACCC